CCCCCCCCCCCCCCCCCCCCCCCTTATTTCTACCATTTCAAGCCCTCGCAGCTGGTCACACATAACCTATTACCAGTAACATCAGTAAACCCTGAGGCTTCAGGGTTTGAGGCTTTATTGGGATCGGGCCAAACTCTTGTTTAGGTTGGGTTTGACCCACAAAACTACCCAGACTGTTTATTGCTGCAATCCATATAAAACAAAGATTCTCTGATGGTCAGATGTCACCCTATTTTTGATGATTTGATGATTTGATTAATGAAATATTCAACAGCAAGGTAAATTTGGACGACAAAAACAAAAAAAAGAAAATGTAGATTTCTTTGGTCACATATCAGACACACATCAAGTCATGCTTATGGCCATGCACATGTTTCCTGTACTTTAAAACAACAAACAAAGCTACTCCTATTATTCAAACAACATATCTTTGAAGTCCTTGGGAAAATTAGAGGGGAGGGACACACCTGTTTCATTTTATAGGTCATATATACACTCCCTACAGATTTTCATGAGATGGATGGCGTAAGTGAGACAGACACCTCCCTGTTCATTTCATCCAATACACAGGGGGATGGAAGAAGGGGCGAAGCACTCACACCTGTTTTATTTTACAGACTGATGAAAGGGAAGCTGCTTTACCTCAAATGATTGGATTGTTGCACCAACAATCTGCTGCACCAGTAGATCTTTACCGGTCCACTCCAGTCACTGTAACACATTAATAATGAAGTTGTCGCTGCCACACAGTAAAAGTATTCCCCCAGATGTGGATGAAAAACATCAGCAGGGACATTCAACTGCACTCTAACTCACTCCTTTTCTGCGTTGACACTTTTAGAAAAAAATGTGTTAAGTCTAGTGTGAAAGTCGCCAAATATTGAATAAACTAATTGCACAGAGTGGAAAAAATTGTGGAGAAACACTTCAGTTGACATTTGATATGTTGAAAACTCTGAAGGAGGGCCTCCCGAGAGGGCATACAAACAGTTCCAGGGAATGAAATAAAGATTACTTTAGATCACATACAATAGCCTAAATGTGTGTGATTTGGTTAAGGAAATACTTCAGAGCAGTGGTTTTGGGAAGTTTTTCCCAAGTGTCAGAAACGTTAGGACAGACCTTATTTTTTTGTGCAATCTGAAGTTATAGCAAACAGCAATATTAGGCTATTTTACCTCCATTGTTGGGATTAAATAAAATAATCCCATAGCCATGCAGGAATTGAGCCAAACTAAAGTAAACTGAAATATAAATGGCGCCTTTCGCCAAGCTTTGTCTAAGGGGAGACACAGTCTCCAATTTTGAAAACCCTTGTCCGAGATATGTTTAAATCATATGCATGGAGGCATGGCGTATCTGTCCTATGTCAACGTTAAGTTATTATAAGTTACGTAGGCTACGTGTAACATAACAAACGTAGTTGTTTTAACCAAAACCATGATGTTTTTTTTCCTAAACCTAACAACATAGTTTGTTGCCTAAACCTAACGTTAAATTGTTTAACTTAATATCGTATTTTGTTGCCAAAAGTTAACGTTAAATTGTTAAACCAAATGAGTTGTCTACTTGGGATTGGATCACCCAAGACACCTGTAAATGCCAGGTGTAAAAAGGGATTGAGTGTTTTTTATACAGTATTCTGTCTCTTGAAACAGAACACAAGGCCAGTGACTGAGTGACTAAAAAGCTTAACTGGCTGTGAAATTAATTTAACAAACTAAGCCACTCATTCCTTCAAAACTGAAGTGTAGTTAATACGTGTCTGCCCAGAGATTCAAGATCAGATAAGATCAGTGCATAGCTCATTGCACAACGTTATTTGTCACATACACATACGTGCAGTGAAATGCATGTGGCGTGCTCCTAATGCTGAAAGACGAGTGTGAAAAATAAGAACAGAAATATGTAGATAGGATAAGAATATAAATCCATGTTTTAAGAAAGTAAAAATGTGAATATTTCAAAAGGCCTGAAACAATACAGGCAATGTATTCATAATATATAAGAAGTTGGAGTTTATAATGAGGTACAAGAATCTAACAGAGTTTTTGCTGGAGGTAAATGGAAAAGATACCGGACAACTAGTTTAATGGCACCGAGGCATCCGGCTCTTGTTAGTTAGTTATAAATTCATCGTGGATTTTTGTCTTTTCAGGGGAATTGTTGATGATCGAAAACAGATAAAACACAGCCGCCCTCATCCTTTAATGCAGTATAATCTCAAATTCCACAGATCGTCGGAAGTCTGGTTTCAGACTCTTTCTGGGGCAAATCCCAGCAGGAAGAAGCAGGAAATGCCCATGACATTGCGAGAATATTGCTGTGATGAATACCTCTCTGTCTGAGCACCTCATCTGCTCGACTCAACATAAGCTTTGGCTTGTCCACAAACATGTTTTCGCTTTGATCAATCCTAAAAGGCTGTATGACATTTAGCTGATACTCAACATGGGATTTGTTCAGTGCATTCTTGACCATTTTATCAGATCAGAGATGACAACAGCAGAGAGACAAAACCTCCCAACATGTATTGACATCTGTCTTCAGTTATGCCATTTGATCTCCTCAGTTCTCATAAATCTCTGGACCCTTATCTGTTTTGTAAGGCAGGGTTAAGGCCTGCACGATGTAAACAAATCAGAAAACTCATGGCACTCCTAAAGCCAAGTGCTATTGATTGTCTCTCTGCCTCGTGTCCTCATACAGCATACATTTCATACATTGCAGTGTGTTTTAAATGGATCTAACTTGTGTTTAACCAGATGTGGGCGGTAGGTGGCGAATAATAATGTTCATTTGTCTTCATATATGGCCTGTGTACAGCTGAGCAACAGATAAACAAAGCTCATCAAATCAGAATGCTTATATTAAAGAACTGGTCCATCCAACCCTGATCTGCTTCAGAACTACAGCAGCCACCTAAAACCAAGTCAGAGGTTTAACTGAAAATAAGACTAGGATTAACAATGATGTTGAGTATGGTTTAATTTCTCCGCCTTTGACCTGCAGAGCTCTGGTGGGAGGAGAAGAGTTTAGCGTCTCCTCCTCCTCCAGGAGCAGAGCTTCTCCTCTTTGCTCCTCCGGTCCCCGCTTCACAAGGACCACCAATTCATAGTAGCATTGAAATGCTTAAAAAAACAAAATAACATGCAATACATTTGTTAGTCAGTTATGATTATGTACGCAATCTGGTACAAGAATATAAAATTAGAAAATGAACACAAAACATCTATTCATATTTATAATGTAACACAACAATGAATCAGCTTGCACACCTGCACGCGTACACCTGGCAAGTCCAAAAAGCTATATGACCACTCATGGTTGACAAGCAAGTCAGGGTGAGCTATAGCTGTAGAATTATGCACAGTGTTGTTCACATACACCCATTTCCTGTTGCCGTGAGTGCCGATGCCTAATCATAGCTGCTGACTCATTACAAAGCCCAGACTGGGAAAAGGTGTGTGGGACACAAACCAGCCAATGCCCTCTTCACCTGGCTGATCTGATTGGCAGCAGAGATCTACTTAATGGGTATTTGGCAGCATGTGCACCTGAGTCACACACACAGGTGCTGTCTGGGTGAGGTTACAAGGTGATACAGGGTGCAATTAATGCGAGTGAGTGTGTGCAGGACGACGTGATTTATTGAAAAGTATGTGTGTGTAAGCATGAACAAGCAGAAAGGAAGTAGTGTAACATTTGGCAGCATTTTATATGAGGCCCATGTCGACAAGGCATTAAATACATACTTATAATCACTGTCATTTTTTTATTTTTCCAGGATGATAATGTATTATAAACCTCGCAGTTTTTTTATTATTCATTAAAATGTGATTATAAGTGTTCATTGTTTGCTTTAAGTGAAGTAAAGATACATTTACAACATTTTGTGTGTTGTTCTTGCATAGATTTACCATTTTATTGACTTTACGTAAAGCAAACAATGAGTAACTTATAATCACATTACGATGTATTATAACACATGTTATAATGCATTATAAAAAGATCATAATATATTACTACTATGGGAATTATAATACAGTATGATCCTTGAAAAAAATAACATCAGTGAGTGACCAGCAGTTATGAAGAATTATACTTTACCATATCATTTTAAATGTTTTATAGTGTGTTATGATTATTGTAATACAGCATTATTATTATTTATGAGTGCTTATAACTATGCTATAAGCAGATTATAACACTTATAAGTATGTATATAATGTGAAGCAAGCAGTCAGTCGCCGTTAACAGAAACGATAGCAATGCTGTTGATTGCTAACTCGAGAGTTTCTGACCACCTACTGGAAAAAGTAATGGAACCTCAGGACTCTACTCCGACCTCATGAAGATGAATGTACAGGTTCATCCCTGTACATTCTTTTCCAGAAAACTTTCTTCAGCAGAGAGAAACTATGATGTGGGTAACCGTGAACTACTGGCTATCAAGCCATCCCTGGAGGAACGTGACCTGAGGAACTGAGAACGAGGTCAGGCGTGGGTGCAGGTACCTGAGGGCTTCCCACTGAACCGCCTTTTTATCCCCGAGCCACTTCGGTCTCAGGTCATCCAATGGGGACACTCTTCGAAACTTATGTCATCCGGGTAGCGGTCGGAGTTTCATCCGTCAACGGTTCTGGTGGCCAGTTATAAGTAAACAGGTGAAAGAATATATTGCTAGTTGCCCATCGGAAAGGGCAACTAGATAACAAGATAAAGCGGCTGTGGATGGGAGCAGCAGAAAAACATATTTTAGCCACCTAATAAAATGCCCACATGAAAATTCATAAAGTGTATGCTACATTAGAATATTTTCACCGTTTAACCTTGTGATCAGAAAGCCCTTTACGATTGTGGAACTGAAGCAATTGTATTGCTGTCTTCAAAGGCACAGAAACAGTCATTTAACCTTGCGGAACACATGAGTTGTTGGTCTTCTGCTGTCTTCATTGGCTAGTTTGTTTGTGTTGTGTTATCGTTATCTGAACTGATATTGCGTCCACAGCAGCACATTGCTTAGTGCTCCATTATACACACACCTATGTCAGGTCACATGAGAAATTAGCATTTTGACGCTAACACATGCATTGCTCGACCAAAAGGTGAATGTTCCGATTTAATACAACTTTAATACAACTTCAAATAATTAACAAAAATAAATGAAATAATAACGGACCCAACCTTTAGTTATCATGATCGGCCCCATTACTCTTAGTAATGGATTTGATTTGGTTGTAACTGCCTGCGATGGTGGCTTTGCAGATCTTTTGTGACTGGTTCAGTAATTGCTGCGGCTCTTGTTTCCATGTGGGAGATATAGCTGAAATTCCTGAGAGTCCTGGAATTCTTACTCGGAGGCTTACGTGAGCAGTATTTCCTACTCAGCTTGTAATTACTCTTGATAACACGATAGAACATAAACGTTAGCTTGCACTCTACCTACACTATTACTACATTTACTTTTTTATGTATTACTCAAAACTAAAGATAAAATAGTCAATGACAGTTAATTTTTTTTATTCAAATTCAGACTTTTTTGAGTGTACACATGTGGTTCTCAGCTTTTAACTGTTGTTATAAATCTGTAGCAGAGCAAATTCCAACTAGCATGTGTTTGTTCAGCTAAAGCTCGATGATGAGCTTCCCTTCATCGTCGCTGCTGCTGGTGTCTTCTGTGTGGTCCTGGCAGCTTTGCACGGGCCTCACTCCACTGGTCAGACACTCGGGCGGCTGGAAGCCATTGAGCTGGCTGGACAAGAAAAAAGACTGGTATTTGTTGTAGTCATTTGGTGCCTCGTCCTTGGTGTCAGTATAATCATCAGGTTCTGGGAATTGAAAAGGCTCTGATGGCGGTGCGGCAATATTATCCAGCACATCGTTGTTTGATGCGAGGGTTTCCCCCGTCGATCTAGCAGCAGCTCTACTGACTTGAACAGAATAAGAATCAGGCGAGACACTTGGGCTCTTGTGACTGCCTATTGTCAATTTATAATCTGTATGTCCTTGCTGCACAGGACTGATGTTACTCCGCTTTCTGTCCTGGTGTGGAAATGCTTGCGTTTGCTGAGTGCCGGACTTACTTTGCGTGAAAGCATTTTGTGTCTCTACTAATTGGGCCCGCACTTTGATACGCTGACTCGAACTAGATTCATATGAGACCTGTTGGTTATGGTTGCTGCTGTTTTCCCAGTGTTGTTGCGAGAAACAAAAGTTGTTCATATCCAACGGGAGCTGTGGAGAATTGAAAAGTCCGGTCTGACCGCCGCTGGCCATTGAATTAAGGTCGCTCAGAGCTTGCTGAGGGCTCCGTGGAGGGTATTCAGACATTCCTGAGTGCGTCTGGGAAAGATGCTGAAGATGTTGCTGAGACAGCCAAGAGTGTTTGAAGGGATCCGCCTTGACCGCTCTGTCTTCTTCCTGTTAATAAGACAAGAATTTTACCATCATACTGCCACAATAATACAGCCATTGTCCCCCCTCTACTGAACCCTTCGCATTAGCTTCCTGCATTGCTCAAATACCACCAAGCTTAATGTGTCCAGCGAGTTATCAATAATGATAAAAACAAACATCACAGAGAAACTGATGCTCTTCTCCTGTTCCTGATGTGGTGATATATAAAATGATGCTATGTTTGAATTACTGGGATTTTGTTCATTGGAATTCTTGAGCAAATTTAGATTTGAAAATTATTAGCTTTGTATATTACTAGTAAATATATGTTTTTTTTTTTTTTTTATATAATTGAACGATTTGGCTGTATCTCCGTGGCCCACTAGATTGGGCTCTAAGGACCACCAGTGGTTGAGAATAACTGCTCTATTAGAGGATCTGAGGTCCAAAATGTTGTACATTTTAAAATTACATTTTAAAAGGTTAGTCTTTCTAGATGGGTCCGGTGAGTTGGCCCCCGGTTGATAGTCACACCGGGAACAGCACGGCCCGTCCCTTCCTGCTGGGAGAGAGGACACAGCGACCGCTAATGCTGCGTTCGCACTTCAAGCGAAGCCCCGCGACATGAATCTACAAACAGATGGAAGTTAAGCTGGTCTCAACTTTTTTTCAGAACTCCAGTGACGCTGGGAAGCGACCATTGGCGACCATTGGATGGAACAGGATGAAACAAAAACATATATGTTTTTGTTTCATCCTGTTCCATTGCCAATGCGGAAGTGTCTTTCACTTGCATTTCCTCAAATGGCCAGCAGGGAGAAGAAGTCAGATGGTGTAGAAGTCTATGGAAAGATTACCCTACTTCTCTCGTCATTTATTACCTCAGTAAACATTGTAAACATGAGTTTATGGTCTCAATCTCTAGTTTCAAGTCTCCTTCAATACAGCATGATGTTCATTTAGTAAATTATGGTCCATTTAGAGTCAAACAGACCATAAAGCAGGGTTTGCTTTAGGGCGGGTGTAACTGTCAAAGAGACATGTGTAATTGGGTATTCTATTGAGTTTATACGGTACCGTATGTGGTGCCTCAAGGTATCGTATTTCGTCATGTAACGTCGTAAAGTAACGGGCCACACCCAGAGTTGGCGTGGGCATTGTGGGTCGTTTGCTGGCACAGAAGCAGAGAGGAGTGAATGACCCCAGATTAAATTGATTCTGCACGTGGTCCAAGAGGTGCACACGGTAAAGTGTTAAGTTGTACATATATTCGTGTGTATTGTTGTTGACCTGCATTTACGTTTACATGTGTTGCATTTGTTGAGATTGTAGTTTATGTCATTATTAATGTGCTAATATGTGCTAGCAACGTGTGCTAGCAAATGTCTGTTTGGCAATGGACATTTGCCTGAGAGACTCCAGGAAGAGCTTGCAATTTATCTAAAAATGTTTATGTTTTGTTTGTAGTTTTCACGGTGTCTGAGGTAGAGAGAGAGAGAGAGAGAGAGAGAGAGAGAGAGAGAGAGAGAGAGAACGCGGCAAATAAAATTCATCAAAGACATCAGTACGAAGCGTCGCCAGTTGTTGGACCAGTGTAGCTACAGCGGGTCTACCTTGTGATTGAAAAGTCACTACCAGAGCTCCAACACCATCCCTGAACAAATTGTTCAAACTGTACCGGGTCTACCTAGGCTGTGGTTACTCATCATGATTAGGACTGATAAGGGTTCAACACGTTAAACGCACAAGCTTAGACATTACAGGTTCTACGTACCGTAATACTTGGCTTTGACCTGAGAGTTCCCCACTATTCCAGCGCCTATGTAACTGCTGTCAGCTGTCCAAATTTTCTTTTGTCATAATAGATTGCAGATGTTTTCAACTTTGGCAAAAAGGCTCATGAAGCCTCATGATTTATACCTCGTTTGCCACCGCCTGTGGTTTCAGTGAAATACATCTCTGTCAAGCATATTTATTTTGTTGTGTAAATCTTTTCTCTTTCTCGACGCACGTCTTGGGGACCATATATTTATCGTGCTGCAACTATTTCATGAGAAAAAAAACAGAACAATTCCGGCTTGGTTGCCTCTTGGGCAAATATCTTAAAAAAAAAAAAAAACCATTTCAGAAACAAACGCATCACGGCTAAAACCTAAAACAGTCTGAATATATCTGGCTGCGGGGGGACTTGTGGAGAGTTTTAGAGTTTAAAAATAATTAAAAACAAAAAAAATAGAAAGAAAACTGGATGGAAAAGAGTCCTGTACAGGACATGTTGAGACATTCCTGTGCAATTTCACTTTTGCCTGTGTGTAGTTTGGAGTGTGTATACTCACATGTGAGAGGGTTGGTGTGTGTGTTACCAGTAGTGAGGATCTAAGTTGACATGTTTGTGATTGGGCTGTACATCTTTTTAATGTGTGGAATGTATAAACATGCATCCAGTGAGCATTGAATGGATTAATTCGATCTCACCTCTGACATATCTGTTAAAGGCGTGTATGTGCAGGTGAACTCGGCCTTGTCCCGCCTTCCCGGCACCCAGTCGGCCTCGCCTCCTCCGTTCTCGTCCTCCCCCTCCACGCGCTGCAGGTTTGTCCTCCAGGCCTCTTGGCTCGGCTTTGGCCTCCCGTCTGTGCCGTCTGTGCCGTCTGTGCAGTCTGTGCCGTTTGTGCTGTCTGGCCGCCCGGGGGTCCCTCCACGTCCCAGTGTCTCCTTCTGGGCCGCACATCCCTCCATAAGTCCTCGGGGAAGGAAAGAAACAACAGTTGTTTTCTTTAGAGCGGCGAGTCCACAGTGTCAATGCTTATCAGTCAGTTTGAACTAAAATGGAGATTACGCGGTTTATGTCAAAACCCTGCGTATAGAAACCGGTGGTTACATTGACGTTTGGGATAAAAGCCTAACCAAATAAATCATCACGATAAATTTAATTATAATAATGAATGTATTATTCTTGTCATTTTAACATTGATATTACCGGGCCTTCGACCAAACTAAAAGAAAGCAGTGCATATTCATGCCATTCACATGGAGCAATGTGGATATCATGTGTCGTGTTTATGGAAAACAAATCTACTCTACTTCAGTAGCTCTTACATACAACAAACTTTCCAGCTGTCCATCTATATTCTAAAGGTTTTTACAGACGGGTTTATTCATATATTATTCATAGACTAGAGACTAATAGATTTATACATTGATTACAACATTCTATTCCGAAAAAACATGGTCTCAATTGATTAATTTATGATTTAACTCCCTCTGCAAAAAGCTTTGACTCTAATATGAATGAATTGTTAAACTGGCTTTGTCCTACGATCAGATTCATGTTATGGAAATGTATGGAAATTGGTACATATTTTATAAGAGAATGTCTCATTTGCATACAAAACATAAATCTTGTAAACTTCCCTATTGTAAATATTCACCTGGGCTTTCGGGACAACCATAAACTTAGATTGTTGTATCTGAGGCAGAGGGAGGAGGTTTTCTGTGCTCCCCACAACGACCTTTTAACTTTGTTATTCTCTGTAGTCTTTCATTTAAAGAGAGGGTCGAATGACACAGTCAAATACTGCAAGACCCCACAGTTCTCTGAGAAAGTCTGGGGGCAGCCCACATGTCACAGTAACAAGGACAGTAATGAGCCAAATTAAAGCCACGTGCACTGAGAGTTGTCCTCAGGATTTCATTCTGCAAATGGAGAGATTTTTAAGCAAAATGTCATTTGTCTATTATTAAAATTCCCCATAGTGCGTTTAATTTCCCGACCTCCACATCAAGTTTTGGTAATTCTGCAGTACACATAACTGGGTTAAGACGAGGCCTCCATGCTGCAAAACCATTGATCACATGCTGCCACCTTGTGGGTAAAACTGCTTCCTGACTTGACTTCCTGACTTGCAAATCCAGTGCAGTCTGCACACAAGTATTAGATCAGACACATTGATGTTGTGTTTTCTCTCTTCATTTGAGGCTGTTCACATCCGCACCAGATGAACAGTATTTGTAATCCTTTTTACACCTCAATGTTTTGAGCAAATTATGATCAAACATTTATTTTTTTTGCTTTTGATTTACTTGAGGCCATGAGGCAAAAATGGGCCACGGCCCCTGAAGAGACCTCCACCACAACCTTCTCTCTGTACATTGTATCCTCTCACTCTCAAATAGAATAGAACTGTAGGAATATGCACCATGTCAACACCATATAAACATAATGAAGATATTAAAACTTGTCACGAAACATTTTGAAATTACAGAAGACGTCATTAAAGCTGGGATTGGTAATGATGAGAAACTAGCAAGAGTTTGCTACATTTGAAAAATGATCTGACCTGTAAACTCAGCCCAGTGTTGCCGACTCTTTTCCAATAAAAGTAGCTAGCAGCACTAGCTCCAAAGGTTTTTAAATCCAACCAGAAATCGCCATGTCGGCAACACTGACAGCACGTCCCTTCAGGCCTCCCTCCATAGACACTCACCCAAAATTGTCATAATGAAGGTAAACAACCAACATGGCTACTGTTAGTACTCATAGCTGTCAAGCTGTCAGCTTGTTGTAGGCAGGTATGTCTAGGCCCAAATACAATGATTGGATGGGTTTAGTCCTGCAAAAGCCACAGAAACAGGGTTTTTTAATCAGAGCATTTGGTTGATTGATTGCCATCGGGATGTAAAGAGAATTTATTTGTAAAGCGTTTTTGAAGAAGATTGCCAACCCTTGCTTCAAAGACCCATATTACCATACAAGGAGAGTGAACCCGGGACTTTAGGGACCTTTGGGGGCCTGTAGACCTTGCTTATTGCCCTCAGTCTGGTCTTCAGCAGTGGAACACACCATCGTTGGAATGAGGTCTTACTCTCTGTTTAGGGTTATATTTCTACATTGTCGCAGAATCTGGGGACTGTACAAAAAAGTCCTGAACTTTTCACCTAATATGGATGTGAACACTATCAAACAACCCTAAAGTCAACTATTTACCTTCATAGTCAATTATAAAATTAATAAGCACAAAGGTGCTCAATTCGATATTCAAAGCATTGATACAGCAGGAATATGGATATGCTCCGAATTTTGTATTGAGCACCTTTAAATCCAATATTCTGGTTTACAAATTGACAAATCCATGCACTGCACTGTACATCATTCACATTATACCCAATATGAATACTTAATACAATCAAAATAGTCATATGTACCTGCAGTATGGCTCTGAATACTTGTAAGCACAGCTGAAGTGTCTTTGGGTCTTTCTACCTGGATGTTAGAAGACACTGACATAAACTGAGCGAGTTGTTTTTCTGAATGGGTTGAGCTGATTACATCCTGAGTCACTTCCTGTAAAGGGGCCGAATCGTCTGAAGGTCCCACCCTGTCACATCCCATGTTTGCATGTTTAGATGAATCCGGAGCCTCTGATAATGTAGTTTCCATTAGATTAGTGCAGTAGATGGACATGTGTGGGTTCAACTGTCTGAAAAAATTGCATTTATTGATGGAAAATGAAGACACTGACCCAGGAGGTTCATCAACACATGAAGCACCGGAGGCCTGAACGAGTGCAACCTGCAGAGGGGGGTAGGTTTCCCCGCTTTCTGGCCTGCTGCTTTTGCATGCAGAGGCTTCGCCTGTTGCTCTCATTGTTCCTACACAACATGGAGCTGCTTGATTTTGAAGTTTGCTTTCTTTGCCCAGTCTTTCACTATTATACTGATTTACTGTGCTCGGAGAGAGAGGGGTCTCGCTGAACTTGTGTTGGCCAGAGAGAGTTTGAGAGATTAATCCACCTTGGCTGACCCTCCTGTTCGGCAAAAGTTGCTCCTCAGCACAACGGTTCAGAGAAAGGGTTTGCTCCTGCTCATAGGTTTGGCTCCTTCCTGACTCTAAACCTTTAAGCGAAGCAGCAGTTGACATAACATCACCCGTACAGCTCTGAGTCACAGTGACCGTGTTTACATGACCGTGTTTGTGTGGGCGTGTAGATCCAGCTGATTCTGTAGCCTGAGTGGAATCATGGAGTTCGGTCAGGTGGAGAATTGGCTCTACCGTCCCAAATTGTGCAGACAGCGGAGGTTTTATTCTCTTTTGGTCAAGTGTGAGTGAAGACTCACTTTGGTACAACCCCTGTTGATGTCCTGGCTGTTGATGGCCCCTTCCATCATTACTACTTTCAATTGCAACAGAGCTTTGCATGGTGTTCTGGATTCCTTCCACGTCACGCCTCTGCGAGACGACACTACCTGCTTGCCTCTCGATCTGGGGTTCAATGAGAGCCAGCTGCTCATCAGATATGATCTGAAAGCAGATCTGGAGGTCTGCCGTGTGAACGTGAAACACGTTCTGGGCATCTGGCTGCATCTGGTCAAACGGTACAATGTGATAAGGTACGACTGGGGTGATGTGTGCGCTGTTTAAAGGGTCTGATGCTGGCGAGAGTTGTGTGCGCGGGTTTGGATTAGGTTGACCTTGTGCAAAAGCCGTAGTGACAGCCGCAGGTGACGGATTGTTTGCTGTGGCAATGGTAGGTGCAACAGGGAAGTGCGGAACCGTGGGTGAAACAGGTAATTGCAAAGGCTCTGAGCCCGCTCCAGATTGCGAGAGCTTTAATGAAGTGCTGCATAATCCTGCTCTATCATTTTGCAGGCAGGTTGTGGTTATTGTGGTTGCTGAAAATTGCCTGTGCACGACAGCACAACAAGATGTTGCATCTGGATTAAGTCTTGGCGTTTCAGCCCGACAAAGGGTCGTGGCTGTGCAAGGCGAGGGGTGCTGGTCTTGTGTGGAACTGAAAGCATTTGCCTTTTTAATATCACAAGTCAACGGTGAGGTGACGGGAATGTCAAATTTCTTTTCGCAAGTTTTGAGCGAGAGTGAGGTTATCTCTGTGAGAGGAGATGACAGAGCAGAGGTGATAGTGCGACCACCAGTTCCTGGCAGTTTATCCACAGCACGTGGAGAAGTATTTGAATCCGGTTCAGCGGCATTAGGTAACTTTAGCTGATACTTGGGCAGAAAGCTGGCCTTGGCAGGCGAGCAGCTGACAGACGGTGTATTTGCATTGATTATGCACGTTGGGAAGAGAGCTGCTGTGAGCTGAGTATGTTTCTGATTTTTCTGGAGGTTGATGTAACTGAGTTTTGTATCCTGCTGTGGCGCACTGCCAGTGACAGAGGGACGGGGATGGGTCGGTGTGTTTGGATTGGTTTCCATCTCCAGAGGGAAAATTATTTTCTCATCAGTTTTCTGTTTTTTCCTGTCTGAGGGAACATGGGCTCCACACAGCTGCAAGGTGGAGTCAGTATGTTTTTCTCCATAAACAGTTCTCCTTGCTTCTGCTCTGCTCATGCTGTCTGTTTGGTGGCTAACCAATGATCCAACTGAAGATAATGGCAGCACTGACAAAGACAGGTTTCTCTGAAGTGGAGTCTTGAGAGAGCTGCATGATGTGTGAAGCTGGCCAGCTTTGACATTCAAATCCACAGCAGAGAGGGATAGTTTGGCAGGAGGGCAGCCTGGTTGGCACGCTGTTGCACTGCTGCTTGAGAAGTTCATTGTTATTGCCGTCTCCTTCTGAACTGCTGATGACCTTTTCGGCAGGCCCCGAACAACCTCGTGCTCTGGGTTTGCCGGACATTTCCTGCCTTTGCTGACACCATCATCGCCGTTCTTCTCGGCATTGTAGAGTTTCTTAAATGTCCCTCCCCCGTACATATACCACTTGTCGTAGGCAAACTTTTGTGTTTTCTTCCTCCGGAACTTTCTGTTGCTTGGCTCTCCACAAATGTCACTGCCATCCCCTTCGCAGCTGAGGCTGCTGGCGCACGCCTCCTCCACAGATGAATTTGCAAAGAGACCGTCTGTTGCGTGGTTGCCATCTACGGCTGCCTGCCGGACCAATGGGCGGTGGGCGGATGAATGTTGGTTTACAGGCTTCATTGCGAAACCTGTTGGATTGATCTGGCCAGAGCTTCCCCTCCGGGCAAGTGTTACATAATCGCTCTGAAAGGAAGAGGTTGGGCTGCTCCTCTCATGCTGCAGGAGGGTAACACTGAAAGGGAGGGAGTTGCTGCGGGTTAAGGGGGCATGCTCCATGGTGTTGGATCGCTGAGTGGGCACAGAGCTGTAGAATTCGGGGTTCCTGCTTCTTTGTAACCCAACATTGGGAGCCTTACCGATCCTCATATCAAAATGAAAGGAGTCCTTGTACGTGTACGGCATGGGGAGGTCAATGCTACCCTGCTTTGACAGAACTGTCTTCCGCGGCCTTACATGCTCTAGCTGTTTGTCCTCCACAACAGCTGTATTCTCTGAAATCAGCTTAGATATGCGCTCCTCCAGCGTCTTCTGCTCCTGCTGCCTTGCAGTGCATCTAGGTTCTTGTCCACCTTGGCCTGGACCGGAAGGTGTTTGTGGGTTGGTGGTTTCTGAAAGATGCTCCTTGGTAGATTCGGTGAGGGAATCCATACTGTGGTCGTGTAAAACGCTGCCGGGGCTCGGGTAGTGGTCACTGCTCTCGCTGAAGCCTGAGTCTGTGCTCTCGTGGCTCTGCGATTTCCCTCGGGAAACAGAGCTCTCCCACTGCTTGGAGAACAGAGTGGCTTCTTGCCTCTGAAGGGGAAGATGTCGACCGGCAGTCAACGGAGGTTTTTCGTTTTCCATCCTCTGTTTTTGTACTTCCTTCACCTTTGCTTCCATCTCATTTACTTCCGTCCTCTGACCTGCAAGGGTCAACGCATTCTGCTCACTCACAGAACCTTGTGACTTTACAGAATAGACCTTTGCAGTACTGGCTGGACAGGTGATCTCATCAGTAGGTAGTGTGGCTTCCTTGTCCATGCTGCCCGAATCCTCGCTGCGCTCATCCAAAGACAAACTGGAGGTACAGGTCTCTCTGGAGCCGGACATGCTGTCCAGGCTGCTCGGCTCTGATTCAGACGAGAGGCGGGCATGAGCCTGTGTACGCTTATGTTTATAGAGGTTGCTCTGAGTCTTGAAAGAAACTCCACAAGTGATGCAGGGATAAGGCCGCTCCCCGGTGTGGCAGCGGAGATGCTTCTCCAGCACGCTGGGCTTCATACAGTCCCGTCCACAGTGAGGACACACGTGCTTTCCGGCCGACTTGGGTCTGACTGCAGGAAGAGCAGCTGCCAGACTCAGTCCCGGCTGAGACTGCAATCCACCAGCAATATGGAGTGTCAGGAAGGGGAGCGTCTCCTTGGAGTAAAGCGGCGGCATTGCCAGATGGAGTGTGGCTGGCTCCCGGGCGGTCGCTGGAGGCACGAGGGGGTAAGGCTGCGCTGGTAGAGCGGGCACCGTGTGGATGTAAACAGCTGTCAGCGGGGCCTGGATGTCCATCCTTTTCTCTGTCTGCGCTGCGACAGAGCTGATGTGCACTGGAGCACTCACCAATCCCGGCTTGCCAGTCTCCATGGTAACCCTGCTGCTGTCGTGATGTACCAGTGCCAGGTCTCTAATTACCTGTAAGATAGGAACAGTTTGCATTAGACCTCTGCTTTGCCTCAGATCAAACAGGGCCGATCCATCTATTTTAAGCGGGGATGTTTTACAGGTCTTGCTCTTAACCCAGTGGAACAGAAAAAAAGGAGCATGCACTGAAGCTGTTCATGATGACAGATATGCAGTACCCTTTTGGGCAGATGGCTACTTAATACAGTCTGGATGTCTTGCATGTTGATCAAATCCAGGGAGATATGGTTTGCAATGACTCTACAGCACGACAATAAATGATATATCTTAAAAGCCTCTCAGAGAAAAGCAGTGAATCTCTGCTATGTGTCAAGAGCAGGTGGTGAGGAATACAACTCTGAAGATATGGTGCAGGCAGTGGAAATACACACACATGGATGGAATTGTGTATAAAGAGTGGAGAGAAACGGGGAATGATGTAGGAGAGTGACTCACATCAGGGAGTAAGAGCAGATGTATTCGTATCAGAGGCTTTTATCTCCCAAAATGAAATGTGTCTGCTGACATTAGCGGTTGCCTCTGTCACCAGGCTGCGCAAATGAAATGGCACACCCTTGATGTTCACAGTGGCATGTGGCAGCTTTGTCTCCCGTCAGAATCGTAAAGTGAAAAGAGGAAACAGCCTGTATTATTTCAAGCAAATTTCATTTCCTGTTGCTGTGATGCTGCTTGTCCATGTATGTTCTACTTGATTTTGCAGAATTCACCCACAGAGGAGCAATTTGTACGGTGCTTTGCTAGTTGTGCAGCAAAGAGCACTAGCGACTTTTTGTGGTGCCGTGAACTGAGGAAAAGTTTGTCTCTGTTCATGTTTGAGTAAAAACGAGGAGCAATGTGAGTGTATTTCTCAAGAATTATCAACTTAAGAACTACCCTCTTACTGTAATGTGCTTTCACTTCCTTTCAGATATGTTATTATGTCATATTGTCACACATGCTGCAACTCCATAAAGACATAGGACTGTAGTGTGGACCTTTTAATAGAAATGCACTGATCTGACTTTTTTAGTTCCGATAGCGAAACCTGAGCTTTTGGTAAAACACTGATACCGAGCACAGATCCGATACCTGTGTTTAGTTAAGAAGCTGTATCGCTTTCCTTACTTTGCAAAATAAAATGTAACAAATAAATACTTTGATATAAAGTTACTCATTGTTTTTTATTGTTAAAATGATAAATGGCACTAGCAACTTGGTAAAATATCTTGAAATTAACAATTCAAGTGTAAACCTTTTTGATGCAGCCCCAACTTGGTCAAAAATAAATTCCAGTATATATTGTATAGTATATAAACAAGGAAATGAACTGAATAGATCAGCCCCATTGTCATGATACCCTATCCAGCTGTTTGAGGCACTATCGGCCCGATATCGGTATCATCCCTACTTTTTAATTAGTCAAAGGGATGTTTTATTTTACAAGCACTTGGGTTTAAAAAAGGTCAAACTGTACAGAAAACCTGCTTGTAGTAAGAACAAGCATCGGCAAAAATTGGTGGAGTGAAAATGTAAACATGGGGAAGACGAGGGGATGTTTGAGAAGAGGAAATTGGTGTTGTCATCACAGATTGTAAGAATAACAGAACGAGGATTCAGAACATTCCCAAAGTAAGATACAACAGAACACTGTATCAAACCATCCTACAGAAGCCACTTACCTTTCCTACTTTGTACTTCACTCAGCAACAATCGTCCAGCTGAGAAAGCCTCCTCCACTGAACAGCCCTGTCCTCGGTGCACGTTTCAATCTGTTCTGTCATCCGGGCAAGTGCGTTCCTCCTCAATCCCTCACAGCTCTTTCACGTGAACTGTTTCTTGTTGAGGAAGCGGAACAAATGCAAATGAGAGAGAAGATGCACTATGAAAGTGACGAGGCAGAGGGGAGGAGAGGGAGGGAGAAGGGCTGGCTGGCTGGGTGGGTGTGTAGCTGTCAAACAAAGACTTCCGGAGGAAAAGTTGAAAACATAAATTAGACAGAGAGATCAGCATACATGGAAGGATTTCAGGCTAATACAGAGTGTTGGTGCAGAAGTGAATGCAACTGTTGGAAGAGGAAGTGCAGTGACAGAGGCGAGCTTACCTACAGCACTCACGCTGGCTGACTGACTGACTTCACCATCAACAGTTCGAGGCTCACTTATATAGGCCTACTTGCTCCCCCACCTACCTACTTCCACCCACACACTGTATTTCATACACCCACAAGGACCAGGGTGCAGCAAATCTAATGTTGATGCACTGCTCTCACTCTCTCAGGCGGAGAACAAATGGATGAGTTGTGAGTGGCTGGAGTGAATTTCCCACCTCCAACCACAGCCCCCAGTACAGCATGTATCATTCTGCAGAGGGTACACCAGTTCACACCACACATGCTTATACAGTAGTGTGGTTTTTCTGACATCATAACATCTTACTGCGAATTCGGTGCAGATAAGAAACAGAAAACCGATTTTATTGCTCCGTTTCAAACTCAGGAATCTACAAATCCTGAGGAATCCAGATCATGGTTATTCTTGGCAGCAGTTTTCTTCAACCTGTTGCTGGTAAACACAATGTCAACAGACCGATCATTGCTATTTTTTTATTAACAGCTCACGGTGGCAAAAAAAGAGAAATGCAACACATCATTTCTCACGTACACATACTTTTTGTCCACATAGTCAGGCCACCTAATGGCCAATGTAAGTGCCAGTGACACCCTTGGGATATCAGTATGTGTCTCTCTGGACAGCATGAGTGGTACATTACACATTTTATGTGGACTCATGTGGCCCGTTATAGATAGCATTATGCTGTTGGTATAACTACACCGTGACTGCGTTGGATAACATTTTTAAACCTGTATTAATTGATATTTTTGACACTTGGTGGCAGCACAACAAGATGTAAACATACAATTCATACTTTAATATATCTGTATACAACAATGACATATTATCACCGTACAAAGTTGATACGGCTAATGTGTTAGCAAACATTTGCCAGCTCACTTCCAGCAGGTACGAAGTAACGTTCTCCACTGACTCCTGAAACTCATCAGTAGCTGCAATCTTAATTTTGCTATTTGTATGCTGTTGGTTTTAAGTCTGTTTGGTCTTTTATGTGAACGTTTTTATGCTGCACTCGTGGCTATGAAAGAGATTTTAAACCTCAATGAGAAATAGTCCTGGAAAAATAATGATAAAAAAAAAAAAAAAAAAACTAAATTAGAATTATAGAAAATGAGGCAAACAGCGCGCTGCCGGTTCTAACGGTCCCTCCACCTCACTTGCTCCATAGATGGTCAAGCTAACTAGCCAGCCCTCTCTTCCTGGCTCTGATTGGTTGCAAATGCCAACTGCTGAACCTTTTAATACAAAACGATTGGCTATAGCTGCTTTAAGTTCATTTCATTTTATTTTAAATGTGAATACATGAAAAAGTCCAAAGATAGTCCTACTCTCAATGTATCGCTCTACGCTCTAATGTAAGTGATGTTTTCAAAGCTGGGATCTTTTAAGAACAGTATGTCATCGTGTGGGATCCACTGTGCAATCATCAGATGACATCTGCTGAAACAAAACAAATAGTTTTTATATCATTCCGCTGCTGCTGACTCTAGCTGGTCTCCAAGGCAACTGCAGGCCCGATCCAGAGCATGCTTTGTGTTGACATGGTAACAAGACACCTCCTACCACGCATGTTTTCTCCCACAGCTCACAGTCCTGCAGGGTGGAGGCATAGTTTCAGGCATGATGGTGGAGACTGACTCAGATAAAATGTTTTCTCAATCACAGTATGTGTATAGTCTCTAAGGATTCACACAGATGTCCTCTCCAAAACAGTCAGCAGGCGTTTAATGTTGTTGATATTTTGGCCTTGTTACTCCGGTTACTAAGATAACGGGGGTTGAGTCCAGTTTTACAGCTGATGCTCTGCAGTGACCAGAGAGCAAGACAATGCTTTATTCTACTCCTCCTGGTCTCTCAGAAGCCTCTGAACCGTTTGTTGCAGTTATTTAGACATTTATCCATGTGGATAAATTGGTTGGTGTATTTTATTTTTTGCGATGAAGTAAAGAGACATGTCGACATGATCCCTGTAGTCACAAATAGGCCTACATCTCAAACGATGCTCAAAAAGCTCATGGGATCATGCAAGAACAACTAAAGCACATCTTTAGTCACGTGGGACAAACACTTCCTCGCCCTTAACTCTCAAAATATGACTTCATTTTGTGAGGACTGTGAAGTTGCCTGAGTCTACACACTTGCACATGAAATGACAGATGTGTCGTTTGCATAGGCCCATCTCTCTAACAGGCTAAGCCGCCATCATCCATCTGCATGTGTTACACTCCATTTCGTTCTTCTTTTGCCAGCACATGAAGCGATGAGCCACATTGCAGGAAGTGGCAACTGAGAGACTGCGTGTGGGTGGGTGCTGAATTGCTGGAGGCCTATATCCACTCATATGTTCACTTGTGCCTTTTCAGCGGATGAAGAATATCAGTCTCATGCCCCACTTTTGTCTTCAGCACCACCAGTAATAAAACCTGCCAAGCTGCCAAGCACAGTGTGTGTACCTGTCAGTGGTAAACCATAATAACTGTCTCTGTTTTACTCTCTGACACAGCCTTAGCTGCTGTGTTCAGCACAAGGCATCTTCAATCATACAACTGTCAAGCAAACACTGCAATTATGACAACAAAGCTGCGCTCAATCCTGAGCAGAAGCTCACAGCTTCTCTTTCTTGATGTCTGTGAGATGCTGTACTTGTGCCCCCTCTGCTGGGCCTTATAGAAAGGATGTACGGTATGTGTTAGAAATCAGGTACGGGAAGCAAAGCATATCAACACATTCAAGGCCAGGCTGACTAACAGTTATTTTATATCGTCCTTTAATCTGTTGTTGTTGTTAGACTATAAAATGTCAGAAACAGGAGAGAAATTCTCATCATAGTTTCCAAGATGAAGAAGATGACCTCTTTATACTACTTTTTTTTGCCTGAGCAACACTCATTTTTTTATTATTTGAAACAGTGACAACCAGCTAATTTTTCTCAGTTTAGATGCTGGAAAACACCAAATATTTATCTTTTTTGTTGGAAAAATATCCTCCTCCTGTTTTAGCACTGGGCCCAATTATGAGCTAACTTAATTGTGGCTATTGTTTTTGCATGAACAGGTAAAGAAAGAACGAAAGAAAGAAAGAAGGGACAGGTTTTTGAGTGTTTTGGCCTGCACTAAAGGCATGTTGCATTCATGTCCCTGTTAAATGCACCACATGGTAGCCTAAACTATTTTTTTAGCTGAATGACAAAAAAGGCAGTTATATCAACGGAATATTTATTTTGTTAATATTTTGTTTCAGAAACAGACCGTTACGTGGGGTCAAACGAAGATGACGAATCTGAAAGTGTGTTGTTTTATTTACATTTATAAATAGTCATCGCGTGGCCACCGTTTTTCTCTCCCTAAACGTCTCATTTTACAGTTTAAGGTGTTAACCGTTACACTAAAAAGCCATCCTCCTTGCCCCTTTCACAATGAAAGTATTACACCGATATGTAAAGAATAAACGTGCACTTTGAATCTGAAAATTCCGTTTACCAAGAAGGCAACCTCGGTCTGGAGAGCCTTTCAGTTCTGTGACGTAGGACGTCAATGCGTACTGCGCAACGCACGTTTGTGTCCAGGAGCGCCATTGGAAGTTTGAAGAGGGTTAGATGTTTTTATGTTTCAAGTTGCAATATTCAGCTCATGTCCTTAAATGTCACATAACGCCGTCGTTGCATAGTACAGGCGTCTAGCTGGTTGGGGGTTCAAATCCGCCCGTGTACTTCTGTCGTTTTTGCTCTGTCGAGACTGTAGCCACTAAGCTAACATTAGCACAAGTTCCATTCATTTGTTGTAGCTGTCCCAGCTAACGGTGTATGTTTATAAACAGCTAGCTAGTTTGGTACAATACTGCATTAGATAACACTGCCGTCTTGTAAAACAGAGATAACTTAACAGCGGCTAACGTAGTCAGAAGATGAATGGTTGACATTGTGTCTTTATTTTAGCCGGCTACGTTGTCCCCATTGAAGGGGCACCTTCTAGTCACACGGACCCATCATGTATCGTTCCAAACCAACCCTGAAGGACCGACAGCACCTGTACAAGCTCATCATAAGCCAGCTGCTCTACGACGGATACACCAGCATCGCCAACAGTCTCATCACTGAGGTCAAACCACCTAATGTAGTGTCGCCCTCTGAGCAGCTGATGCAGCTGGCAAAGACAGGTACGACTAGTTCCCTCCACGTCTTGCATGTTAGAGTGATGTGATGGTTCAGGAGGCCCTAACTGTGCAATTTCCAACCTTTTTTTCAGGGATGGAGAACGACGACACTGCAGTTCAATATGCCATCGGGCGCTCGGACACAGTGGCGCCGGGCGTGGGCATTGATATGGAGTTTGATGCCGATGTCCAGTCCATGTCCCCGGAGGCGTCGGAGTATGAGACCTGCTACGTAACATCGCACAAGGGCCCGTGCCGCGTCGCCTCATACAGCCGAGACGGCCAGCTGATCGCCACTGGCTCTGCCGACGCGTCCATCAAGATCCTGGACACCGAACGCATGCTGGCCAAGAGTGCTATGCCTATTGAGGCGAGGCAGATTTAAACATCAGAGCACACTGCACCATTTTCTAATCCAGAAGGGTGATGTTTACTGTTTTCTTGTGTGTGTGTGTCTTTACATTTCAGGTGATGATGAATGAGACAGCGCAGCAAAACATGGAGAATCACCCCGTGATCCGGACACTGTATGACCACGTAGACGAGGTCACCTGCCTCGCCTTCCATCCCACTGAACAGATTCTAGCCTCTGGCTCAAGAGATTACACCCTCAAGCTGTTTGACTACTCAAAGCCCTCTGCAAAAAGAGCATTTAAATACATACAGGTCAGATTTTGTACACAATATGTCTCAGGTTTTCCACTTAGGTTCTGGGAAAACAACAATTGTTCTGTTGAAACGGGAGATGCTGAGTTACATAGAAAATGGCAGAGCTAACGGAAACAAGGCTGGGAAATTGCAACATTTTAATTTCTTGAGTCTATGACGACTACTGTAATTCTCTTGTAATCCAATACTCTCTTCATCCGTTTCACAAACAGGAAGCCGAAATGCTGCGTTCGATCTCCTTCCACCCATCGGGCGACTTCCTGCTGGTGGGAACGCAGCACCCCACCCTCCGCCTCTACGACGTCAACACCTTCCAGTGCTTCGTGTCCTGCAACCCGCTGGACCAGCACACGGACACCATCAGCGGCGTCGGCTACAACCCCAGCGCCAACAGCTACGTCAGCTGCAGCAAGGACGGCAGCATCAAGCTGTGGGACGGCGTCTCCAACCGCTGCGTGACCACCTTCGACAAGGCCCACGACGGAGCCGAGGTGTGCTCCGCCATCTTCTCCAAGAACTCCAAGTACATCCTGTCCAGTGGCAAAGACTCCGTGGTCAAACTGTGGGAGATCTCCACGGGCCGGACACTGGTCAAGTACACAGGTAAGGAGGATGCCTTTCGCCGCAACCACAGTGAGACGTGTCGCATGTTGCTTTATATATTCAAAGGGGAAATTCTGCACCTTTTTTACATCGATGTCCAAACAGCGTTGATGCTCAGTGTTGTTCATTGAAGCAATACTTTCCTCAGTTTGTGCTATATTGACCGGGAAAGCTGAGTTCTCCAGCTCACGGAGGTGTGACGGCTGCGCCTACATGTACCAGGATGCATTGCGGGCAAGCATAGTGAAGCCGAGTGGCACCCTCGGTAATATAAAACAAAAACACAGAGGTTCTGTAGTCCGACCCAGCGTGAAACAAGACGGCAACGACTCTTCATCATTTACCACATTACAACTGCAGCTTCCCTCCTTCCGTTTTCACCTTTCACAATAAGAGCCCAACTTGTTTTCGCTGAGATGCAACTCAACAGTTTACTTTTGGCACCTGTCACTGGTGGCGGTAAACTCTGGCCAGAATAAATAGGCCTGAATGTCTGAGTCAGCCAAAACACTGTAAAATGTATCCATAACATCCTCTGCACTCATATTTTGGGAGGCCATTTTCAGCATCTACGTCACTCTCACGTCAAATGACTGCTGGATTCAGCGAGAACACGAGATATCGCAACAGGAGGAGATATCGCAACAGGAGAAGCTCTCCGGGTTGATATGACAACGCACTGAGCAAGTCTTTGCTTCAATCAACACTGAATGAACATCGAGAACACATGCTCTGCTAACATGCTAGGGGAATTTACAGAAATCAACCTCATGTTTTTTTTACTTAATGTGTGATCTATTCCTTTTCATCCAATTCAATTAGTATCTTAGTTTGTGATCCAATATATAATACCAACATGTTTACAAAACTATTATATACTGTAATTTAAAGCTGGTTTGATATGATTCAATTTGGCTTTGTTCATGTTCCGCTCAATTAAGAAGAGTTTTGACTAAAAGTAAGTAGAAGAAATGATATTGCCTTACTTTTGTTCCAAGTACTCAAGTGAGCCGTCATACCAGCAGTAACAAAACAATCAGACACACGGGGTAACTGTAACTTCTGCCTCCAGGGTCGGTGTCATCCATCTAAATGTGGTGATTTCATTACATTAACAAATTGGCTCATTGGCCTCGTAACAAATAGTGTTTTACAGCTTCAGTTCAGATGTCGAGTTCTGTTCATCCTGAAAGAGGCTCAGTGTACAAAATACAAACAGATCCTTTACTAGTCCTTCACACCTTCACGTGGCTGAGAGCAACAACCTTGTTCACCGTCCAAACGCTGCACATGTGCTACTGAAACCCAACATGTCTGCTGTGTGGACAGAACCTCGACAGGAGCAGAGCTAGTTAACGTTAGCTGTTAGCACCGTCCTGCGGAGCTAACGTTAACGGAGGATGCATTGGATGTCATTATGATACGTTCATGCTCTATTCAATGAAATCATTTTAAAAAAGCTTTATAAAATGATAGTGTTATCAAGATGTGTTGAGATGGAATCCTGTAAAATGCAGTTGTTGGTGAGAGACTTGGAACAAGTCCAGTTTAAAGGATGTTTTCACAGCAATATAAAATGGATATTAGTGAGGTCATTATGAGCCGTTCAACACGAGCGATAAGGAGCTTATAATGCGTCATTAAAACTACTAATACCAAGATATTTAAATGAAAATACAATCATTCATTTCTTAATCATTAGTATGCAAATAACCACTGTTATGTCAAAGACAGTAAAAAGATAACCTTTAGAATTGTTGACGTCAACACTGTCTTTAGGGCCATTTGAAATTATTTTTTGGGAATTTGGTGAAAAAAGTTAGTTTTGTTTCCATAACAACAACATCTTGACCACATATCACCCTGTCACGACTAGCATTGCCCCTTTGCTTTTTATCTTCTATATGGGCTGCTGTTTATTTCTCATTATTTCATTTCCACAAATCCAACCCGTCACACTGACCACATTATCAGGAGGTTGCAGCGTCAGCAGTTATTCATAGAATCAAAGCGTGCTAATAATCAGTGACCGATGCGTCATCTTCTCAATTATCAGCAGTCACTTGTTGCAGTGACAGTGACGTGTCATTCCTTCTTAGTGTGAATCAACACAATGTCAAACAAACGAACACACACACGCTGCTTGTTTAATATCTTTTTTAAATGTACCTGTTTACTAATATTATAGTAGCGTCATGATGTTTGTGTGGCCGGTGATGGAAGACATTGCTCATGTTAGAAATGTTTGCAAATTCATTAGACCGAAAAAAAATATTAACATAAATATTCAGAGACATAAAAAAAAAAAAATAGGCAGGAGGAGAGCTAGTTAACATTAGCTGTGAGCAGCATAGTCCTGCGTGGCTAAATGACGGAGCTAACCGCTAACGTTAACAGAGGTGGCATTGAGTTACATTACGATGCATTCAAGCTCTATTCAGTAAAAATGACTATTGGCGGAAGGTAAATTCTAAGCTTACCATGATGCGTTCAAATGTAATCTTGTAAAACTCGCGAACGGTCAAATATTGTTGAATGTGAACGACTTGATTAAACTGATGTGAACGTGTCCCGTCTGTTTTAGGGGCGGGGCTGAGCGGCCGTCAGATGCATCGCACGCAGGGCGTGTTCAACCACACGGAGGACTACGTGCTGCTGCCGGACGAGCGCACCATCAGCCTGTGCTGCTGGGACTCCCGCACAGCCGAGAGGAAGAACCTGCTGTCTCTAGGCCACAACAACATTGTGCGCTGCATCGTCCACTCGCCCACCAACCCCGGCTTCATGACCTGCAGCGACGACTTCAGGGCCCGCTTCTGGTACCGCCGCACCACCACGGACTGAGGCTGCCCTCCTCCTCTCCACTCTCACTCCATCGCCACTCGTCCGAGAACCTAACAGGATGCTGGACTCTCTGTGAACTCGCCACTTCCTTCTGATCTGTGGTGACTTTCATTTGTGATTTGCAGTGGAACTTCTTGGGCAGCACTTAAAGGGTAACTTCTATATTTTTCAATTTCAAAATTTGTTGCCCCCTCAGTCACGTAGGCCGTGGTTTCACTTTTCGGCGCAACTTCTGTGATTGAATGGGCGTATGAGTCTCCACACGACCTGACTGATTGGATATATTCGTGGTCAAAGGAGCGGCTGTAAAACAGGGGAACGCATCTCGTTTCCTAAAAATTGTTCACGGTAAAAGTCCTCCGTAATTTAGTTTAAATTGAAAGCTTTTATTTTGAACTGTTGGGTTCTCAGGACTCGGACAGCAGGTGTCGGCTCTGTTCTCTTCGAGATGAAGATGATGGAGACGTTTTGATAACTTGTCTGGATTGTGTCCACACCTCACGGGGGAACTCAACTCGAGCCAGACCGCCTCGCTCTGCGGTCTGGCTGATGTCACCACGGCCTGAGACACAACAACATGGCAAAACAGGTTGAAAAATACTGACGTTACCCTTTAAGAAGAGGAGTTGCATCTTCTTAAGAGCAAAGCAGCATTTCTTTACATCTTTTGTCTTTTTGATAATCACACTTTGAGAATGAACCTGAAAGACCTTTTTAAAACTCTGCTCGGATACTTCAACTCTTTTCAGATTTCTCAGCTGTATGTTATCTTCGACAACTGAGTTGTGTTGTTGTCTTTTCTTCCCCACTTTTCTATTTTGTCTGCGTCCTTTGTTGTAATTCAGTAATTTTTAATAAACAATTAAAAGGAACAAGCCTTTTCTGTGAATGTGATGGTGAAAAGTCCCCTTTGAGAGCTCCTGAACCACAGCCACGGTAATATCCTGTCCTATTTTAAGAGCACAGTTGGTGCTGCAACAAGCGAGCAACCTGCAGGGAGCACACATGGGCGATGATGCGTCACACACACACACACGCACGCACACACACGCACACACACACGCACGTACTTGTGGTAATAGTTTCTGTCCGGCTTAGACTCTGAATCAGAAATGTACGTTGCACATACGAGGAATTTGTCTTGGTGATTGTGCAACAGTAAAACACAGTGCAATAGTATGACACATAGAAAATATGAAAATGTACAATATAATATGGTAAACAAATAAGAGTATGTTAAAACAAGAATATAAAGTGTCACGTGTATATTAAAAGAGAAATTCATAAACCTAGAAGTCTCCCCCCTCCCTAAAAGTCCCCTGCCATATAAATTTGTCACACATTTGGAGGAATGTGTCCGATTTATTAGAAAATAGGAAGTAAATATGACAAGATGACATAAATTCCCTCAGTTAGTTAGAAAAGTAGACTAGCAGTGAGTGATGTACTTCTGCTTTTTAAGGGAGATGGTGGTGGGGGGGGGGGGGCACCAAGAGTGGGAATGAAGCGGGGGGGGGAAAAAAGAGAAGAAAAACATTGGG